TATATATATATATTTATTGCATATGTATATTACATCTGCTTCAACATAAAATTTATTACAAAATATTTCATATAATAGCTGGTTCTTTTATGAATTAACGAATGTCAGAAGAAATCCAAGAAAATCCACCCAAACTTTTAGCACCAATTGTATACGAATTAACCTACCAAATACAAATTCAATTTTGGCCTTTTTTTTATCAATGATTATGTTTGTTCCTGTATTATTGTTTCTATCGTTCTATTATAACAAAAAATTCTAGTGTATCTATTCATAAAAATTCATTTTTCTACATATTCTTTTAGCTTGTAATCTTCAAAAATGAGTTCTAAAAACTTCAAAGTGAAATTCATTATAATAATCAAGATATGAAAATTTATCAGACACAATTCCATAGAAACTATGACTTCATGTAAAACCTACAACGTGTTTTTCTCAAAACAATATATTTCAAAACTGCTATACATTTTTTACAGAAACTACTTAACCAATGTACTTGCAATTTAGAAGACATGTAAAGTACGTCATGCACGCACACACACAGAGTATCGTTGAATGGGCTATTTTTTTCGATTGTTTAAATATTAATATTTTTTCGGGTCGCGGAAGAAATGAACATTTTTTCACAAAAGTTCAAATTCCATATTTCAAGCGCTGCCATTTGGTTAATATTTCTTGTTTTATTTATTTCTCTCCATCCAACGATAAATACATTTGTTATGAAAAAAATTTTTTAAAAATATGTTTTTTTAGTATACCAAGGACGGCTGTAATCAGTATGCCTGATAATAAACATTTTTCGTTACATGACTTGTTCAACATTTTCTAATATGACCAATTTGCAATAAAATGTTTTGAAAAAATATCAAATGTTACTTCGAACATGTATTAATATAACTTCAAGCAAACAACAATGTAGATAAGAAAACGTTTCTTTAAATTAAATTCTCAAAAATCAACTTAAAAATGAGTGCTTACACTCGAATACCTCCTCCCTCTCACCTTTAAGTTGTTTAATTATTTCTCTTTCTATTTTTCCTTATCTATATACTATACAGTAAACGTAATTTCTACTATTTTTTTTCGTCTGTAAAATATGTAGTAACCATTTTTTATCCTTATAAATTATGCCCATAGCATACAAGCATCTTAAAACAATCATTGAAATAACATTTAATACATTCGACAGTTCCTAAAGCTTACGATTTGAATTTTACCAAGAAAACTTAACCTATAAAGATTAATTGTCCCTATAAGCAACGTCTAACCTACAAAAGACATAAAACTTTAGTATTACAACATGCCAGAATTAGCAATGGCAATTGAAAAAAATTAGGTTTATCATCGAAGATAAAATATAGGGAGTTAAATAATAAAAATTAAATTAACATTAAAATATAATCCTGTTTAACCATTAAATATTGCAAATCATATAATGTAGATATTAAAATATGTAAAAAAATCCAAAATACAAATACCACTTAATACCAATATACAAATATACAATAATTACTTGCTTAATAATTTAAAGGGTTTTACTATAAATATTAAATTAAATTGACACAATTCTGATTAACCATTAAATATTGCAAATGATACAATGTAGATATTAAAATATGTAAAAAAAATCCAAAATACAAATACCACTTAATACCAAATACAAATATACAATAATTACTTGCTTAATAATTTAAAGGGTTTTACTATAAATATTAAATTAAATTGAAACAATACTGATTAACCATTAAATATTGCAAATAATATAAAGTAGATGCTAAAGATAAATAAAATAAAAATCCTACGAGTTAATTAATGGAATTAATTATGATTATAATTGTTTTTTTTTTTTCAGGACTGGTTCTCCCGGCAACAGTTGGTGATGCTGGTACTTTTTATCAACATATCCCTAGCCCTGATGTTCTTCAAGTTGCTGACGTAGCAGCCAGCCAATGATCGGGTTCACGGACTCGTGGTGGACGTGACCTGAGACCAAAGGGTATTCTGACGCCCTGGGTCGTCATCAAACGTGGCATAAATTTTCAAGAGAAAGGAAAATATCAAGAAAGTATGGTAAATCAAATTTACGATGCCACACAACCGACCGTTGAAAACGGTTTTTTTTTTCGAGTTACTGAAAAGTAGACGAGAATGAAAGAAATAAAAGAAAAAAAGGGAAAACTAAGAAATGGATAAATGAAAACGAGGAAGAAGTATGTATCTCACCTTTCGTGTCCTTGAGGAGGAACGATTTTGTGAGACAATTTTTATCGTAGGAATTTTGAACTTCTACGAAAATAAGAATGAATAAAACCACACACAGAAAAAAAAAAGAAGATGTTGAAACAAACGAAACGATAAACTATATATTTAAAAAAGGATAATTTTTCGATTAATGAAAGATTGTCCAATCTAGTCGATAGAAATAAACAAAGAAACAAACAAACAATACAAGTATAAATACAAAGAGATACCGAAAATGAGGATAATACGAGATAGAGGAACAATTTCCGGGCTTATTATTATTTTTACACCCGGTAGAATTTACGAAGACACGAGGTCCAGATTTCAAAAAAGGAATAAAAATAATAAAAATTACAAACGAATGGATTAATAGAGAAAAACAAAAAAATAAGAAAGAAAGAAAGAGAAAGAGAGAGAGAGAGAGAGAGAGAGAAGTATATTATAATTTATCAAGCGCGTTGAGATTTATGATGGAATGGAAAAAAAAAATAATATAATAAAATAGAAATGAAAGATCGATTTGATTGGTCGCGTCAACGCGATCTCCCCACCCTCCCTCGGCGCCATTATCATACCTATTTTTACACCGATATTTTAATAATAAGACTACTACTACTACTACTACTACTACTACTACTACTACTACTACTACTACTACTACGATTACTTACTATTACTACACAACTGCTACTTCTAATTATTATAAGAGTAGGGGTCGAGTCTTGTTTATAAAAAAAAAAGTAATAATAATAATAGTTAAGCCGAATAATACGCGGCCGAACCATTATGCGCACACGAACGAACAAAAAAAAAAAAAGAACAAACAAATTCCTCCTTCGTTTAAAATTAATTATTATACATAACCTAAAATACATGTCGTTTTATTTTTTTCTTCAACACCCCTACCCCTCTCCTCCAGCTCCATTTTATTCTTTTAATTATTAAATACGCGAGATATTGGCTAAAATGATGATAATAAATCTTGTATGTATATATGTATGTATGTAAGTATGTATGTATGCTATGTATGTTATGTTGTATGTGTATCTACCGTATATGTACGCGTAAATACGTGTATATATACATTTGGAAACATAACGATTTCAAATCGATTCGAAACAAACAAAATATTTAGAATTCATTTTAACCGATGAACGAGTTGGACGTTCCTATGATTAAAAAAAAAAATAATAATTTTGAGGAATTAAAAAAAAAAAAGAAATAAAAATTTACGAGTGGAGTGAAAGTGGAAGGAAAACAAATTTGATGAGATTGTTAAATGGATTTTAGAAATTATCGAAGAAAAAATAAAAATTTTATCGTTACGTGCAATGAAGAAAATTTTGCATCGTTATTTGTATGAAATATTAAGAAAATTATTATTATTATAATTATAATAATTATTATTATTAATATTAATGTTATTATTATTATTATTATTGTTATTACTATTATTATAATTATTATTATTATTATTATTAATATTATTATTATTATTATTATTATTATTATTATTATTATTATTATTATTATTATTANTTATTATAATTATTATTATTATTATTATTAATATTATTATTATTATTATTATTATTATTATTATTATTATTATTATTATTATTATTATCAAGAGCGAGGTTTATCAATGAAAAAAAAAATATTTTTACAGTTAAACCGGACAAACATTTTTTTTTTTTTAAACGAAATATTGCAAACGCCAGACGATCGAACTTTTTGAAAAGCTATCGCATAAGCGTCATATCTTTTTTAACAAGAAACAAATAAAAAAGAAATCAATACAAAATACGGACGTAATTAAAAAATGCGAACATGTTTTTCTATCTTGTAGCTTTGCTAGATTTTAAACAATCGGTCGTGTACGACACGATCGGAGAAAAAAAAACAGAGAGAGAGAGAGAGAATGCGTGTAAATGTAATTGAATGAAAATAAATATGATAATATAGCGAAACGCGTTTAGAAACGAAAAAAAAAACAAACAAAAAGATTAGATTAACGCGTTTTCGCGAAATTTAGACAAATTTTGTAAAAATAGGAAAAAGAAATGGAATGAAAATGATTAGGAGTAACATACGTGCTTCGAAAAAAAAATTGTCACTAGTCACATTTGTAAGTTTTTTTCGTGACTTATCGAGCTGATTCGTCGATAATATTCGAGAACTAATCAATTGGTATATATAAATATACATATACACATGTATGCAAAACATTTGCATAATTTTGTCGTTTGAATCGTACGAACTGGCTTGAAAAAGAAGACAAAAGATTAAAAAGAACAAAAAGAACGCGTTAAAGATAAAAAGAAATGGAAAGAACGAAATAGAACATAATTATTCTGCTTCTTCCTTCTGATAAAACGTCTCAAAACCACCGGTGTGCAATGTATTTTGATAAACGTGTGTCAAATTTGTCAAAAAAAAAAAAAAATAATAAAAAATAATAAAAGAAAACGCGTAAATTTCTAGGCAAAAGAAGAGAATAGCGTTTTAAAGTTGTAAATTAAATTTATAACTCGTTGATACGCGTATCTGGATTATTTATTTCTTGACGGAATAAAGAAACGAGAGATGAATTATTAATAAATAAAAAAAAAAGAGAGAGAGAGAGAGAAAAAAAAAAGTTATTGTTTAACCAGTGGTGACTAAACTTTTTTGATTATTGGTGTCCTTACTGAAACCATATTTTTCCAAGACGCCCTATATTTTGCGATATAATCAATAATTTTTTTTTGCAAAGATTAAAAAAAATAAATAAATAAAATAAATTTTAGAACACAAAACTATATAATTTAAGAAATATTAATTGTAATTAATAATTAAATAATAATTCTAATAATTAATGGAGTTAAATGAGCCTTTTGGTCAATCATAGATTTTCTTAAATCATAAAATTACATTTTTCCATATTGATTTTCATACGATGTGTTTAGATTTTGTCCCAACAATTGTTGAAAACCTAAAATTCCAAATATAAAAAGTTCCGAAAAAAAAAAATGAAAATTCTGAAATGTAACACGGTTTACCGTGAAACGAACGAAAACTTTGAAAACACCACTGGTTAAAACTCATCGTACGAAATTGTTAAAAAAAAAAAATGAAAAAATGAAAAATAAAAATAGAAAAATAAAAAAAAAATGATAGAACAGAAGAAAATAGAAAAATATTGTTAATTTGATAGAACATTAAAAAATATCGGTACGATTGTTCATGCGTATGTATTTTGAAAGAAAATTTTATTAAATATGTTGAGAAAAGAAACAAAAACAAACGCGAAATTTCCTAGTTTCGAGAATAGCGTTTAAAAATAAAAAAAAAAAAATAAAATAAAAAATTTCTATAGATACGCGTATCTGATTGTTTACATTTCCAAGGGAATGAAAAAAAAACGATAAAAGAATTATTATTAAAAAAAAAAAATAAGAAATTGAATGTTAGAAGGAGAGAAAGAAATGTTATTGGCTAAACTGACAGACAGTCGAGCTCAGATAAGTTTCGTGATTTAATATCTCGTAAAAGTGTCCATCCCGATTTGTCAACGTGATGTTTCAGATAGTCAAATTCGAAATAGAATTAATTTGTTATCGTGTGGATCGTTTAAGAAATTGACTTTGGGTTACTCAAGTCAAAATAAATTAAATAAACTCAATAAAAGAAGATATAAGAAGAATAAGAATAAGAATAAGAAGAAGAAGAAGAAGAAGAAGAAGAAAGAAAAAAAGGAGAAAAAAAGAAATATTGAGTTATATATATCTCTATATATATTTAATAATATATATATATTATTATATATATATATATTATTATATTAATATATATATTATAATTATATATATTATTACTATTATTATTATTATTATTATTATTATTATTATTATTATTATTATTATTATTAAATAATAAAAATAAAAAGATTAAAATAATAAAATAATTAATTAATGCGCCAATTTTTTGTAACCAATGATAAATAAATAAACATATATATATATGTACATATATATATGTATAGTTACTTCAAAATATGCTCCGCCGTGCTCTTGCAGTGATAAGTTAATAATTAATATAATATAATATAATATATATATAACAAAAAGATAAAAGTGAAACGATACGAATTATATTGTCTCTCTTTTTTTTTTTTAATACGACATTTACGTAAATCATTTCAAAATGTCGATAAATTTAAATTCAATTTTTTTTTCTACCATTTCTTGTGCGATTACATTTTTTCTAGCTTTGAATGTATTAACTGAGAGATATTTAAAAACGATAGATATTTAAATTTAGATATAACAAGTAAGAAATAAAAAAAAAAATTAACATATATATTTTAAAATTGTGCTCGTTATTCGATCTATCGATCTTTTCACGAAGTGTTTTAAAAATAATTGGTTGACTCTTCGACAAATATAACGAGCACCCTAAACGCATCTTAAAATATATTTTAATTAGTACCGTTGAAAGATCAACATGTTACACGACGGGCACATAATTTATCAATTTTCTTGAAGGAAGAAAAAACTTACACATAAAACAGAATAGATAAAAAAAAAAAAGAAAAAAGAGAAAGAAGAGATAGAGAGATAATGTAAGCATTGTTAAGTATTTAAAAATACAAAAAATAATTAAGAAATATTAGGTTGGTGTAACAATAATTAATTAAATATAAATACTTAAAGAATGGTTTTTAAATTGTGGTTTAAATCAGTGGTAACCAAAAATTTGGAATTCTTGATACTCTTATTGGATACAGATTGCCCCAAAATGCTATATTTTAAATCATTTTAATTCTTTAAGAAATAATCAATCATTTTGTGCCAAGGGTTGCATCAAAATGAATAAAACTAATGTTAAATCCAAAAAAAATGCAATTAAACACATTCAACGGTTTTCACACATTCAACTACGAGTTTTCTCAAATAATTTATCATTTATTTCTTGAACCATTGATTTTTTTTATGCAACACTTCAATTCAGATTCACATAACAAAGAAATCTCAAATTTAATTAAAATAATAAAAATTGTGTAAAATTTTACTACACATATTAGGAACCACTGATTTAAAAGTTAAATAACTGTTTGATGATCAATCTTTAGTTTTTTTGGAATTTGTCAATTTACTTTATCGTAGACCATATTTTTTATATGGATTATATTTTTTATATCGTTACTTTCAATGGTTCAAGGCTATTCCCTATTAGTTTCACTTTCAAAATTTTCATTTTAATCAGAAAATTAATTATACTTATTTTTAATTTTACCCTAGCTAATTATTTTTCAATTATATTCCAAAAACATGATTTATACTGCATATCTCAAAAATTGTTTTCCTGAGGAAAAAGAAAACAATTAATGTTGAGCAATTAATAGAATCGTAATATATTGTTTTTCATTTTAAAATACAAATTGTATTATAATTTACTATAGTTTGGATAAAAAAGAAATACAGCTCAACTATGCAATTAATCCAAATATTTGTACAAAATAAGATTCTGAGCATGTAGTAGAATAAAACAACTTTTAAAACACTCAGTAACATTTTAAACAGCCATAACTTGTACAATAAAATCATTAGAACATTTTTTTTCTTAATAATTAATTAAAATACTTAAATTCGATAATTTTAGATAAAAACAACTATAATTTAAACAAGAATTAATAATACCATGATAACTAAATTAAAAAAAAAAAAAATTTAGAAAAATTAATGCCAAATTTAGAATAAGAAAAATCATCATTATTTTTACACCAACTTAATATTTGATATTATACACAAGAGATTAGTATAATTTTTTCGAG